TTATGCAGCACTGGTGGTCACAGCTGACCTCCATTTAGAGTGCTCGAGGGCCAGGGCTTCCCAGTTCTCTCTTGGTGTCTTGTTGTTGTTCATTCGTTCAGTCGTCTCCGACTCTTCGTGACCTCATGGACCAGCCCACGCCAGAGCTCCCTGTCGGCCGTCACCACCCCCAGCTCCTTCAAGGTCAGTCCAGTCACTTCAAGGATGCCATCCATCCATCTTGCCCTTGGTTGGCCCCTCTTCCTTTTTCCTTCCACTTTCCCCAGCATAATTGTCTTCTCTAGGCTTTCCTGTCTCCTCATGATGTGGCCAAAGTACTTCAACTTTGTCTCTAGTATCTTTCCCTCCAGTGAGCAGCCGGGCTTTATTTATTTCCTGGAGGATGGACTGGTTGGATCTTCTCGCAGTCCAAGGCACTCTCAGCACTTTCCTCCAACACCACAGCTCAAAAGCATCTCTCTTCCTTCGCTCAGCCTTCCCTAAGGTCCAGCTCTCACATCCGTAGGTGACTACAGGGAATACCATGGCTTTGACTAGGCGGATCATATTCCAAGCTAGATAAAGTTTATTCAAGCATTAGCATTTCACCTTGCCATGGCGAAAGAGCATGTATGTTCCAGTCAACCTGTGAGTGAAATTATTGGGAGTTCTGTACTCCCAACAGGGCCTCCCATTATGGCTATGCCACAAGGGATGTCACATCTAGACTAATTATGTCCAAAGAACAAAGACTTCAATGGCAGAGCAGCTGAATGATAACATGATACATATTGCAATGACTCTGATGGTGGACAAAGTCTGCAACAAATAAGAGGCTACTGGTCATTGTGTTAGAAATGGAGATGTGCACCGCACCCCAGAGTTGACTGGACTTAATGTCAGGGGGAAACCTTTACCTTTACCATAAATAAATAAGTAAATAAATAAATAATAAATGTGGAAGCAATCTCTACAAAAGGCAAAAAATGTGAGATTTCCAGGTGCAGGAATATTGTGGTACGTAGATGTGACTACAGGGAAGACCATGGCTTTGACTAGGCAATGGATCTTTGTTGCCAGTCTGATGTCTCTACTCTTCACTATTTTATCGAGACTGGACATTGCTCTCCTCCCAAGAAGTAAGGAAGCGTCTCCTGATTTCCTGGCCACAGTCTGCATCTGCAGTCATCTTTGCACCTAGAAATACAAAGTCTGTCACGGCCTCCACGGTTTCTCCCTCTATTTTCCAGTTGTCAATCATTCTTGTTGCCATAATCTTGGTTTTTTTGACGTTTAGCTGCAACCCGGCTTTTGCGCTTTCTTCTTTCACCATGATTAGAAGGCTCCTCAGCTCCTCCTCGCTTTCGGCCATCAGAGTGGTGTCATCTGCATATCTGAGGTTGTTAATGTTTCTTCCAGCAATTTTCACCCCAGCTTTGCATTCATCCAGCCCCGCACATCGCATGATGTGTTCTGCATACAAGTTAAAAAGGTTGGGTGAGAGGATGCAGCCTTGCGTACGCCTTTCCCAATCTTGAACCCGTCTCCTGTTCCGTGGTCAGTTCTGACTGTGGCTCCTTGGTCCTTGTACAGATTCCTCAGGAGAGAGGGAAGGGGGCTTGGTATGCCCATCCCACCAAGAACTTGCCACAATTTATGATGATCCACACAGTCAAAGGCTTTAGAATAGTCAATGAAGCAGAAGTAGATGTTTTTCTGAAACTCCCTGCCTTTCTCCATTATCCAGCGGATATTGGCAATCTGGTCTCTTGTTCCTCTGCCTTTTCTAAACCCAGCTTGAACATCTGGCAACTCTCACTCCATGTATTGCTGGAGTCTTCCAGGCAGGATCTTGGGCATTACCTTACTGGCATGAGAAATAAGGGCCACTGTACAGAAGTTTGAGCAGTCTTTAGCATTTCCCTTTTTTAACCTTGTAGAAGACCTTACTGAAATTCAGGTACGCTACATCCACGGCATTCCCTGCATCTACCCAGCTTGTAACTCTATTGAAAAAGGAGATCAGAGTAGTCTGGCATGACCTGCTTTTGATGAATCCCTGCTGAGAATTAGAGATGACCGCATGCCTTTCTGAGTGTTTGCAGACCACTTCCTTTTCCAGAATCTTGCCTGGTATTGGCATATGTCTGACCAGACCCTCATTGTTTGGGACCGCCTACCTGCGTGACCGCATTTCTGTGTACAAATCCACACAATCTCTTCGATCATCTGGAGAGGCCCTGCTCACGCTCCCACCTCCATCGCAGGCGCGATTGGTGGGGACGAGGGAGAGGGCCTTCTCGGTGGTGGCCCCTCGACTCTGGAATTCACTCCCTAAGGACATCAGACATGCCCAACTCTGGCAGTCTTTAGGAGGAGCCTGAAAACGTGGTTGTTCCAGTGTGCCTTCCCAGAATAAGGAAAACTTTTAGCAATATGTCCTCAAATGCACTTTATTATTGATCTAGGAGTGTCTGCGCACCCTCACCTTTCTCCGAAAACCCTGTCCTAGTTTGCCCTACCTTGCTCATGCCCAGCATTTTTTTAAATTTTAATTATTACATTTGGCCCGGCCATATGTTATTGATATGGTTATTGTTTATTGCTTTTTGAATATTGAGTTTTATTTTATTTTAACTGTTTTGTATTGATTGTTTGTTATTGCCTTTGTTTATTGATGTGTTGTGGGCTTGGCCTCATGTAAGCCGCACCGAGTCCCTTGGGGAGATGGTAGCGGGGTACAAATAAAGTTTACTATTATTATTCTTTATTTATTATTGGGTCCTCCTTTTCCCCCTCTTGAAGGGACAATTTGGAATGCTCAGGAGATCCATTGTGGGGTGGGGGGGGGGCAGCCCAGTAATATTTGTGACCCTCGGCACTTAGCACATCACCGTAATTCGGAATGAATGATGCCCTTAAATAGTGGAGAGAGCCATTCCTTTTTGTCTGCCTGCCCGCCTGCCTTTAGCCACATTTGTTCTCGACCCAATGAATTCCTAGTTCGCCTTCCTTCCTTCCTTCCTTCCTTCCTTCCTTCCTTCCTTCCTTCCTTCATTCATTCATTCATTCTTTTCTTCCTTCTTTTCTTCTTTCTTTCTGGATCCGATCCCTTCTTTCTAAGGAAAGGAGGGAATGGAGTAGCGCTTCTCTGTATGCGCGCTTGAGACCCTGATGCCTGGGGGACGATGAGGCCTGGCTCGAGAGCTGTACGTGTGGAAAAAGATCTTGGAGTCCTCGTGGACAACAAGTTAAACATGAGCCAGGAATGTGATGTGGCGGCAAAAAGCCAATGGGATTTTGGCCTGCATCAAGAGGAGCCTAGTGCCTAGATCTAGGGAAGTCATGCTCCCCATGCTCTATTCCGCTTTGGTTAGACCACACCTGGAATATTGTGTCCAATTCTGGGCACCACAATTCAAGAGAGATATTGACAAGCTGGAATGTGTCCAGAGGAGGGCGACTAAAATGATAAAGGGTCTGGAGAACAAGCCCTATGAGGAGCGGCTGAAGGAGCTGGGCATGTTTAGCCTGAAGAAGAGAAGGCTGAGAGGAGATATGATAGCCATGTATAAATATGTGAGAGGAAGCCACAGGGAGGAGGAGGGAGCAAGCTTGTTTTCTGCTTCCCTGGAGACTAGGACACAATGGAACAATGGCTTCAAACTACAAGAGAGGAGATTCCATCTGAACATGAGGAAGAACTTCCTGACTGTGAGAGCCGTTCAGCAGTGGAACTCTCTGCCCCGGGAGTGTGGTGGAGGCTCCTTCTTTGTAGGCTTTGAAACAGAGGCTGGATGGCCATCTGTCAGGGGTGCTTTGAATGCAATATTCCTGCTTCTTGGGAGAATGGGGTTGGACTGGATGATGGCCCAGGAGTTGGTCTCTTCCAACTCTTTGATTCTAGGATTCTGTTCTGATATTGGAAGGAGTGCTATATATTTCCATTTTGTCAGCATTTCTTTGGGGTCATAGTATTCTAAAATTGACTTTTGAACAAAAGTGGGCCGAGTTTTCAGGGCGGACGGAGGCTTCACGTAACGGGGCCCGTGTAGAGACCATGTGATGGCTTTGGAAGCTTAACTATGCCTAAGATCCAAATCCGAATGGTTTGATACTCCTGGGCTTTGTACAAAATGATGCTGCTTTGACTTCCAAGTTATTCAAAAGCCAGAAAATACATTCTAGAAATAAGTCTCATTGAATTAATAATTAAAATAATAAAAAATTGCGAAATAGTAAAATTATGAAATTGTAGAATAGTAAATACTAAAAGTAATAAGAATTATAAAATTACCAAGATACTAAAAAAAAAAAACCCTCAATGGATTTGCTTGTGAAAGACAAAAATCTATGTAAATGCAACTCCCAGTCTCAAGGTGAAATCCAGGCAGAGATATTTGGGGCAACGTCCAGTAAATGAAGGGATGCTTTCACTAACCGTCAATCGCTTCTTCAGCGAGAGGTCAGCTGAATGACCCTTGGACGTCAGCCTCTGTCCTCCTTTGTGTCTCTTCTTCCTTGCACCTTCTCCTCCTCCCTCCCTCTCGCTTTTGCCTTCCCTTCAACTCCTTCTCCGCACAGGGTCGCTCTCTCCACAAACAAAGGTTTAAACTGTGGCCGCAGGGCTGGGAACAAAAGCAGGGGAGGAAATCACAGCAGAGCACCCTGTCGTAACATAACAGCAATAGAGTCACTTCCGGGTTCAACATGACCCATGAAGGGAATAATAATAATAATAATAATAATAATAATAATAATAAACCTTTATTTATACCCCGCTACCATCTCCCGCAGGACTTGGTGCGGCTTACAAGAGGCCGAGCCCACAATACATCAATAAAAACAGCAACAACAGCAATACAGACAATAAATAAACTCGTAAACAATGCAATAAACAGTAACAATAACACACAATAATGACGTGACGCAATTAAAAACCAGTGGCAGGGCCAAATGTAAGAATTTTTTAAAAAGGGGGGGGGGATCTTGGAAGGAAAGAAGGTTTTCATCTTTCATTCTTAATCTTTGGCTTCTTTCTTGACCAGGGAAATGAGGATTCTACGGAGCCACCTCTGGGATGCAGGAAGGAGACCAAGAAGAGAGGAAGGAGACATCCTCTCAAGGTGATGATCTCGCTGAATTCTTCACCTCACTTACTGGAGAGAAAAAGGAAGAAAGAAGAGTCAACCATCTGTGTTGCAATTAAGTACACATTCCATTGTTGATATGGAGGAGAAAGCATACAAATGCTCAGAGTGTGGAAAGGGTTTCACTCGCAAGGCTCATCTTCAGCGACATGAAAGGACCCACACGGGGGAGAAGCCCTATGAATGCCTGGATTGTGGGAAGAGCTTCACCGACACTGGAAGTTTACATTTACATCAGAGGACTCACACTGGGGAGAAACCCTATAAATGCCTGGAGTGTGGAAAGGGCTTCACTCAGAGTACAAATCTGCATTCACATCAGAGGACTCACACGGGAGAGAAACCTTTTACATGCCTGGAGTGTGGAAAGAGTTTCACTCAGAATGCAAATCTACATGCACATCAAAGAACGCACACGGGGGAGAAACCCTATACGTGCTCGGAGTGTGGACAGAGCTTCACTCATAGTGCAACTCTACATTCCCATCAAAGGGCTCACACTGGGGAGAAACCCTATACCTGCCTGGAGTGTGGACAGAGCTTCACTGAGACTGGAAATCTACATTTACATCAAAGGACTCACACTGGGGAGAAACCCTATAAATGCCTGGAATGCGGAAAGAGCTTCATTCAGAGTGCTACTCTAAATTCACATCAACTGACTCACTCAGGGGAGAAACCCTATACGTGCTTGGAGTGTGGAAAGAGCTTCACTCATAGTTCAAGTCTACGTTTGCATCAAAGGACTCACACTGGAGAGAAACCCTATCCATGCCCGGAGTGTGGACAGAGCTTCAGTGACAGTGGAAGTCTGCGTTCACATAAAAGGACTCACACTGGGGAGAAACCCTATAAATGCCTGGAGTGTGGGCACAGTTTCACTCATAGTTCAGGTCTAAGTTCACATCAAAGGATTCACACTGAGGAGAAACCCTATCCATGCTTGGAGTGTGGACAGAGCTTCACTTGGAGTTCAAGTCTACGTAAACATCAGAGGATTCACACTGGGGAGAAACCTTATAAATGTGTGAACTGTGGGCAGAGCTTCACTGAGAGTGGAAGTCTACGCTCCCATCAAAGGACTCACACTGGGGAAAAACCTTACAAATGCCTGGAGTGTGGACAGAGCTTCACTTGGAGTTCAAGTCTACGTAAACATCAAAGGACTCACACTGGGGAAAAGCCCTATGAATGCCTGGAGTGTGGAAAGAGCTTCACTGAGAGTGGAAGTCTACGTTCCCATCAAAGGACTCACACTGGAGAGAAACCCTATACATGCCTGGAGTGTGGACAGAGCTTCACTCGTAGATCACTTCTACATTCACATCAAGGGACTCACACTGGGGAGAAACCTTAGAATTCCCTGGAGTGTGGACAGGGCTTCACTCAGAATGGAAGTCTACCTAGACATCAAAGGACGCACACTAGGGAGAAACCCTATAAACATACGTAGTGTAAAAAAGAACTTATCTGAGAGTTGGAGTCGACATAGTATTCACATTGGAGAGAACAGTGGTGTTTGACCCCCAAGAGACGCTGATGACTGAGCTTTCCAAACTTTTCATGTTGGTGACATACTTTCACAACATGGTAATTGAGTTTAACAAGCAAACCGGAGGTTAAGCCAACCATATACAAGACTTCTAATATAAGTAATGAAATATACTGATACAAGTATTTTATAATAATCTTTACTGTTTGAACTTTAAAATAAATTTATTTGCATCATACAAGTAGAATATAACATATTCACATTTCCCCGCAAACATGTTTAGAAAACAACAAAGGCAATGTATACAGAGTTTTGGATTATAATTCAAGAGATATACAAAAGATTTTAAAAACAAATCCAAAGAGAACCAGAATATTTCGTCTTAGAAATGATAGACTTTGAAGGAGACACAAACAAGGAGATATTGTTTAATTGCTTGACGACGGCAATTACCAGTCGAAAGAGATTCCCAAAAAGGAAGAATGGCAGAACAAGGTTCTGGAGATAAGCGGGTGAAGCGAAAGCGTCTCTGAGGGAAACCGTGGCATTGAGGGAAAATGGCGAGCGAGGCGTTGCTAGGCCCAAGCCCTACTCCTTCTTCTCCTCCTCCGCCGGGGTCGTTTTTCCCGGAGATTCCGAGCCTGCTGTACTGGAGCGCCTTCTCCGAGGAATGCGAGACGCTGGCTCTGAAGCCTACTCCTCTTCGGCCTTTCGGGCCTCTTCGGCTTCCGTTGACGATTGAGGCCGAGACGCTGACGCCGCTGTGGATGAACTCGATCCCCAACGAGACCTTCACGCAGGTGCCACCGCCGGCGCCTCCCGGAGAAGGGAAGGCCTCAGCCCTGGAGGCGACTTACTCACTCAGCAGCGAGGCTTCGGCCTGCTCCTCGGGGCTCCACTGCACCTTCGAATGGGAGGCCGCGTCCCTGGTCAGCTCCACGCCGGCCCCGCAGGCGGAGGAGATGAACACGAGGGCGGGGATTGGGAGAGGCCTCTTCTCGGAAGAAGGAGGATGCTCCCAAGGGGAGGCGAGCGCGAAGATGAGGCGCCTCTCCCCCAGAAGTAGGCCTCCCAGCTGCCCAGCGCCGGAGAAAACGGCTGCCCTCTGAGGGAAAGGCGCCCCAGGGAAGGCCTCAGAAGGAAGGCCCAATGAGAAGGAGGGTGCCGAGTCGCCAGGCCCAACCTGGGCAAGAAGCAACTGCCGAACGGAAGGAAGAATGGTTTAGCAGAAGTGCCCCAGGAGAAGAAATCTGCCCGGTCGGCTCAGCTGCATTCACAACTCGCCAGAAAGCCTCCGTGGAGTAGTTCACTGGCCTGTCAGACTCCAAAGCTTCAGGGGACAAACAAGCCTTCCGGAGCCAAGCTCCCGGTTTCTGCAGGCCTGGATGTAGAGGTGGAGCCTTGGTGGCAGTGGGGCAGATCCCCAGCGGTGCTCCAGGGCGTGCGTCTTGCTTGCAGGGTCGACGGCTGCTTCAGGAAAACCAGCTCCTGGCTGAGGAAATTCCGCACCGGAAGAGCTTTATGGGGAACTACCAGGGGAGAGGTTCCTCTTCTTGAACATCTTGCGTTCCATGCCAGACCTTGTCCCTGTGTGGTAGGGTTGGACTGTGAGCACACACTGATACGGGGACCTTGCCATCTCTTGCTGGCTCTTTTATTTCCTGCATTTGCACCCCGCCCTTCTCACCCCCCCGGGGGGGGAGGGGGGGGACTCTGTGCTTAGCAGAAAAAAGAATAAACTAAAGAATAAACAAGGAGTGGGCTTATACGTCAACCTAAATTTAGAACCGCAATTGGGATTTAGAGACGAAGATGGAAGAATAGTGGAAGAATACACTGACAATCGATAACCAGAAAACATGAATACGCAATATCTACGTGCCAAACGGACCAAAAAAAGAAATTCACACAAAAACCTAATCCAGCAAGAAGGATACGATCACCTACTTGTAATGGGAGATTTTAATGGAATTATAAATAGTCAATGGGATAGGAAGTTGGCATCAGGGGTGCTTTGAATGCAATATTCCTGCTTCTTGGCAGAATGGGGTTGGACTGGAGGATGGCCCATGAGGTCTCTTCCAACTCTTTGATTCTATGATCAAGGAGAAAAAAAGACAATGCAAATTTACTACCAAAAACATTAACCAACTTATTAGAAGACCTTAGTTTACAAGATACCTGGAGAGTACACCATCATAGAATCAAAGAGTTGGGAGAGACCTCCTGGGCCATCATCCAGTCCCAACCCCATTCTGCCAAGAAGCAGGAATATTGCATTCAAATCACCCCTGACAGATGGCCATCCAGCCTCTGTTTAAAAGCTTCCAAAGAAGGAGCCTCCACCACACTCCGGGGCAGAGAGTTCCACTGCTGAACGGCTCTCACAGTCAGGAAGTTCTTCCTCATGTTCAGATGGAATCTCCTCTCTTGTAGTTTGAAGCCATTCTTCCATTGCGTCCTAGTCTCTCTCCAGGGAAGCAGAAAACAAGCTTGCTCCCTCCTCCTCCCTGTGGCTTCCTCTCACATATTTATCCATGGCCCTCATCATGTCTCCTCTCAGCCTTCTCTTCTTCAGGCTAAACATGCCCAGCTCCTTAAGCCGCTCCTCATAGGGCTTGTTCTCCAGACCCTTGATCATTTTAGTTGCCCTCCTCTGGACACATTCCAGCTTGTCAATATCTCTCTTGAATTGTGGTGCCCAGAATTGGACACAATATTCCAGGTGTGGTCTAACCAAAGCAGAATCTAGACACTATGCTCCTCTTGATGCAGGCCAAAATCCCATTGGCTTTTTTTGCCGCCACATCACATTGTTGGCTCATGTTTAACTTGTTGTCCACGAGGACTCCAAGATCTTTTTCACACGTACTGCTCTCGAGCCAGGCATTGTCCCCCATTTTGTATCTTTGCATTTCGTTTTTCTGCCAAAGTGGAGTATCTTGCATTTGTCACTGTTGAACTTCATTTTATTTATTTTATTTTTATTTATTTATAATTTAAACTTATATGCCGCCACTCCCTTCCCTGGGGCTCGGAGCAGCTTACAAGAATAGCTAAAATCTAACAAAGTTTAAATGCAATTTAAAACAATTTAAAAACAACAGTATCAAACATTAAAAGCCTGTCGGAACAGGTATGTCTTAGCTTTTGTTAGCTTTGGCCAATCATCTCTCTAATCTGTCAAGATCGTTTTGAATCCTGCTCCTGTCCTCTGGCCTATTGGCTCTCCCTCCCAATTTGGTGTCATCTGCAAACTTGATGATCCTGCCTTCGAGCCCTTCATCTAAGTCATGAATGAAGATCCTGATCAGGACCGGGCCCAGGACAAACCCTGCTTGTGGCACTCCACTCGTCACTTCTTTCCAGGATGAAGAGGAGGAAGCCTTGGGGAGAATCACCCTCTGGGTTCGTCCATTTAACCAATTCCAGATCCACCTCACTGTAGTTTTGCCTCGCCCACATTGGACTAGTTTCCTTGCCAGAAGGTCATGGGGGACCTTGTCGAAGAAGGCCTTCCTGAAATCCAGGTACGCTACATCCACGGCATTCCCCGCATCTACCCAGCTTGTAACTCTATCGGAAAAAGAGATCAGATGAGTCTGGCATGACTTGTTTTTGATAAATCCATGTTGACTCTTAGCGATGACCGCATTTGCTTCTAAGTGTTTGCAGACCACTTCCTTAACAATCTTTTCCAGAATCTTGCCTGGTATTGACGTGAGGCTGACCGGACGGTAGTTGTTTGGGTCATCCTTTTTTCCCTTCTTGAAGATTGGGACCACATTGGCCCTCCTCCAATCTGCTGGAACTTCTCCCGTTCTCCAAGAACTCTCAAAGATGGTTGCCAATGGTTCCGAAATGACTTCCGCTAGTTCCTTCAATACTCTGGGGTGTAGTTGATCTGGCCCTGAAAGGGGACTTGAACTCATTTAGAGCGGCCAGGTATTCCTGGACGACTTGTTTCCCAATTTGGGGTTGGATGTCCTCTAATCCCTCATCCACTCCATCTTGCTGAGGTTGAAGATGACTTTCTTTTTGTGAGAAGACCGAGGCAAAGAAGGCATTAAGTAGTTCTGCCTTTTCCCTATCATCCCCTGTCAGCATTGCCCCATCTTCTCCTCGAAGAGGCCCTATCGCCTCCTTGTTTTTCCTTTTTCTACTGACATAAGAAAAGAATCCCTTTTTATTGTTTTTAATGTCCCTGGCAAGCCTGAGCTCGTTTTGTGCTTTAGCCTTGCGGACCTTTTCCCTACAGGTGTTGGCTATTTGTTTGAATTCTTCTTTGGTGATTTCTCCCTTTTTCCAGTTCTTGTGCATGTCTCTTTTGTGTCTCAGCACAGTTAGAAGTTCTTTGGACATCCATTCTGGTGAGTGTAATGGATGATGATCATGATCATCATAGTAATCCTAATTTTATTGGGTTGTTGTAGGTTTTTTCGGGCTGTATGCCATGGTCTAGAGGCATTTTCTCCTGATGTTTCGCCTGCATCTATGGCAAGCATCCTCAGAGGTAGTGAGGTCTGTTGGAACTAGGAAAAAGGGTTTATATATCTGTGGAATGACCAGGGTGGGGCAAAGGACTTTTGTCTGCTGGAGCTAGGTGGGAATGTTTCAACTGACCACCTTGATTAGCATACAATGGGCTGATTGTGCCTGGAGCAAACTTTTGTTGAGAGGTAATTAGATGTCCCTGCCCAAACACAATCAAGGAACACTTCAACCAGAGAAGTCAGCCATAGCAGAGCACACGATGAACCAACCTGGACACAGCATCTTACTTGAGAACACAGAAATGCTGGACCACTCTCACAACCACCATGTCAGGCTACACAGAGAAGCCACTGAAATCCACAGGAAGCATGTGGACAATTTCAACAGAAAGGAAGAGACCATGAAAATGAACAAAATCTGGCTACCAGTATTAAAAAACTCTAAAATTACAACAGCAAAACAGCAGAGAGGAAACAAACAAGGACATCTAATCACCTCTCAACAGAAGATTGCTCCAGGCACTGCCAGGCAATCAAAGCCTTCGACAATAACTAATTTTCTTTTTGTAAAGTGCCTATTGAATGACACAGCAAAGGGTCAAAGGGGCCTGAAATTCATGAGGGATGCTGACTGAAC